AGTACTGAATGAAATTGAAAATAAAGCTATCCACTGTAGTACTGAATTGAAATTGAAAATAAAGCTATCCACTGTAGTACTGAATTGAAATTGAAAATAAAGCTATCACTGTAGTACTGAATTGAAATTGAAAATAAAGCTATCCACTGTACTACTGAATTGAAATTGAAAATAAAGCTATCCACTGTAGTACTGAATTGAAATTGAAAATAAAGCTATCCACTGTACTACTGAATTGAAATTGAAAATAAAGCTATCCACTGTACTACTGAATTGAAATTGAAAATAAAGCTATCCACTGTAGTATTGAATTGAAATTGAAAATAAAGCTATCCACTGTAGTACTGAATTGAAATTGAAAATAAAGCTATCCACTGTACTACTGAATTGAAATTGAAAATAAAGCTATCCACTGTAGTACTGAATTGAAATTGAAAATAAAGCTATCCACTGTACTACTGAATTGAAATTGAAAATAAAGCTATCCACTGTACTACTGAATTGAAATTGAAAATAAAGCTATCCACTGTAGTATTGAATTGAAATTGAAAATAAAGCTATCCACTGTAGTACTGAATTGAAATTGAAAATAAAGCTATCGACTGTACTACTGAATTGAAATTGAAAATAAAGCTATCCACTGTAGTACTGAATTGAAATTGAAAATAAAGCTATCCACTGTACTACTGAATTGAAATTGAAAATAAAGCTATCCACTGTACTACTGAATTGAAAGCTATCTACTGCACTGAACAATGATTTAAAGTAACAGAATACAAATAAATATAACCAAGATATAACACTAACCGCACATAACTGTGTGATTGACATTTTGTAAAAAGACAATTGATGTTCAAGAACTGCTGGTTGCATAACTGTTTTAACTATACATGAAATGATAAATAAAAACAATATCAATTTTGATGGACTTAAGTATCTGTTCTGATGAGTAACTGATCAATGAGAATCCTTCCATTACATTTCCAAAACAATGTAAGCAGTTACCGCTGAAGTTCAAAAAGAGTTTTACTGTCACCACCATATATATAACACCAAAACATCAACATTGCAAGCTAAGTTGCTGACTGGTTTGCTCTGCTTATGCACAATGTAATTACTTTTCAATTTATATCATCCAATTAATTGCTGTATGACAAATGGTAAAGTTATGAAACTAGATAAAATTTATGTAATGTTGGAATCTCTGAAGTTGTTGATGTGTTCAGTGTGTGGCATAACACCAGTAAATTATGTTGACAGGGTGTCCTTATAAAAATGGTTATAATCCTGTCATGAACTTGAGATAGTAGTGATAGTAATATGTCAAAAATGTATGCCAGGCTGTGATTTTTAGAGGGTCATGAATGAGGTCGATTCTGTAGACAATACCACAATATAGAGAAGATATAAAAGACAACTGGAGATACAGCCATGTTATAAAAGACAACTGGAGATACAGCCATGTTAGGCAGCTGTCAAATGCAGTCTATATACACAAATAGAGACTGAATATCTGTGTACATAAAGCAATACGAGCCTGGGTTCTCCAAGGATAATATACAAGTCTTGGATTTCCCAATGAAATACTGGGAAAGAAACTTTGCAAATAACTCACTTCATTGAATTTCAAGATCTCCTTGAAACTATTTATCCCAATGGAACTACCCCCTTTTAAGATACATTCTATAAATATCAATTTGCTGTTCAGTACTGGAGATATTTAATGCTGCGTTAAGGAAGATGTCACAATTCATGAGCGGACGGGCGGGAGTGTTTGCCAAGGTCTGTGGGAAATAGAAATTATATTACAGCAGAGAAATCTTGTTTGTGGTGCAAACAGAACAAACATCATTGAAAATCACTTGGTTTTATTTGTTTTGTACATGTACCATTAATAATAGAGATACTCAGTGGGCAGTCTGGAAGCCTAGATAAATAAGCTTTGCATTTTATATAGTGAAGAAGACAAATAGCCTGAAGAAAAGAAACATAACAACCAGGACAGGTGCTCCCTGTCATCTTTTGTGATATGTTCGTAACTGTCAAACAATTTGACACGTAGGAATAAACTTGAGCCATTAAAAGTTGACAGAAAATTGTGGATCTTGTGTGAGCAAGTGCAGATGGAAGTGGGTGAGAACAGATTGAGTAAAGTAGAAGAAGAATTGTTCACTACCAATAATATTCATTTCTCACTACAATGATATTTCCAACATAACCATTGGATTTAAATTCATGAATTTGTTGAGAAATACAAGAATGAGAGTTATTGTAATTTCACATGACAAATGGATTTTATTTATGTTCACAGTATTCCCAGATAAGGCAGAGAACCACAAGCACAAGCTTTATAGTACCTATATACACCATTTAGCAAAAAAAGTATAATCCTAACTATTATCTTTATGGCCATCATAGGCAGCATCAACATTCATCTATGTGGATACTATTTGTTCCCATGACAATGGGGTGAAAACAATACAGTACAATATAACTATAGCAACTTGCCATCCTACACAGTATCAAAATCCAATAGTAGATGCCATTATCTACCATGACAACTATCTACCAAGACAACTTACCTGCTGTCATCATCTGTTGAGTCAAAGTAGCTAGTAGTTTCTATATCACTGCTCATCAAGGTGGATGAACTCTCGTAACCATGGCCACTGTGGCTACTCCGATGTTTATGTCCATTGATTCTAGGTACTACAAAAAAGGAAAAATTTAAAACACTGTTTGAAATATGACCATACTATAACATTGCCCATTTCATTGTCTATAGAAGCAACTTGAATACGTTAGATGTAGTGACCTGAAAAAAAACAAAGATCAAAGAACTCCACGACGACTCATCTGTTTGGCTAATCAGAAAGGTGAATTATATTACTCTTATTAAGTGTGTTACCTTTATTTGATATCTATTTTCAGTAGAGAAATATTTGTCCTTCAGTACATATATGCAAAGTCACTGTTCTATACAAAGCCACAATAGCCAATTTTGGAAGAATACAACTTGCCTCTCACAAAAAAAGACCCCCCCCCCCCAATTGAAATGTTTTTACTTTCAGAATTTAACATAAAAAACACAGAATTGTTGTTTCTAGCGCATAACCCATAAATGCATAAAACTAAAATTCTATTTAAAAGCTGAATTATTGATACTTTGACAATAAGCTACTATCGCTATAAGTGAAAACACACGAGTATACTTTACGACCATAAAGAGTAAAAAAAACAAAACAAGCAGCCTGTCGGCTGAGATAGCTCCGCTGTTAGCAATGCACATGGCAATTAAAGAACAGAAGATATCATTAGAAAATGAACAAATCTGAGAGAGGTCCACATGTAGTACCTATATGTATAATATATCAAAGCAATTGGACTTGCGGTTTTCAACAAGAAGTCGAAAATATCACTTTTTACCAAAAATTACAAAAATATTCATCAAAATTAGAGAATTAAAGATATCATCATGAAATGAACAAATCTGAGAGAGGTCCACATGTAGTACCTATATATGTAATATCAAAGCAATTGGACTTGCGGTTTTCAACAAGAAGTCGAAAATATCCACTTTTTACCAAAAATTAC